TTTTACCAAAAGAAAAAGAAATCTCAATTAAGAAGAGTACTGAGTAGGATTTTTCATAATTGTTTTAACAACCCCCCTACAACCGCCTTAAAATCCTTGAAATAACCTCTTTTTCAGGGACCTCCCTCTTTTGTGTATATATATATATAAGGTAACTAACAATTTCAAATTTATCAATGATTAGATAATAAGATTACAGATTAACTGGTTATATCAGTCAATAATTAATTATTCGTTTGGCTTAACCCACGTTCGGTTCCTTCTGCAACCATTACTCGCCATTATTTGGAGAAAAATCTAAAACAATAACTATGATAATAAATCAGAATAAATTTTAGCAAATTATTGAGAAGAGCACCCCAAATAATAAAAGGATAAAAAGAGGTAAAACTATGGAATTTGAGTAGACAATTGATGAGTGTAATTCACTCATTAAACATATGCCTCTAAATCACGGGTCTTAATTTGTTCTTGAGCACTTTTGAACGTTTTGATGTGTGTGTTCGTGTTGTCTAGTTTTTCTAAATCCTTATTTACTATCTCTCATGTTCTTTATCTTGTATTTTGGCATGTTAATCGATTCAAGTATGAACTAAATTCATAGATCTAGGGTTGATGTAACCTATTTGAGACATGATTTGATTCTAATATAGTTATTTCTTTCAGTTTTTCATGATTTATTTGTGTTGTTTGTGCTTAATGCTTTCAATTGCCTGATTACCAATTGAATGAATCAATGCCTTAAATTTAATGCTCGAGAGAGGGAAATTTAGACATAATCTGAAACAATATAACCTAGATTTGTAGGTTTCGAGAAAAAGTGCAAATCTTTGAGGGGTATAAACAAGAACCAAGAGCTTTAACGATCTTTATGTATTTAATTTGGAATAAAGATATTGAGGTTAAAATATAACGATAGGTTCTATTGGCACTCGAGAGAGGGAATAAAATTAAATTATGGTTCTTGCCTATAAATTGGGAAAGATTCGATGAAAATGACTATAGAGGTTGAGAGCATGTTGATAATATGGTGAAATCAATCCATAGATCTCCATAGTTTGATTTGATTTTTAGAAATTGTCTCCCTTTACTTGCATTCTTTATTCCATTTAAATTAGATTAGCAAAAAACCATCATTTAAACATTGGAATTGTCTAAATAAAGTGAAAATCGAAACAATTATAATACTCAGTGGAATTTGAATATCAATTCCTGTGGGTTCGACAATTTTATATTCTTCACTATATTACAAAACTTGACACCGTATACTTGCGATTAAATCACATTATATAAAACGCATGGCAACAATCCAATTTTGAAAATTTGGATGTAATGTTTAAAGTACTAATGCTATGTAATCTCTTTGGGGTTTTAACCTCAGTTTAGATGGCGCTAATGCGACACTGAATGATAAGTGAAATTAAATGATTCATTTGATTTCACATTTTATTTAATCTATCATTTAGTGTCACCTAAATTGGGGTTGTAACCCTAATATACTACGTAGCATTACTCATTATATTATAGTCATAATAAGAGAAGTGCTACATGTATGTAATTGTTTACATAATAGTGTCCATAATTACACATGGCACTGGATTCAACTTTTAATTCAAATCTCACACTTTATATTAACAATCGGATGATTGCCACATCCCATTATGGATACCATTACGTACAATAATTATGTACAAGTAGAATTTTCCTCATAGTCATAATAATACTTATTGAAGAATGAATGTTTTAAAATATTGTTCCTTCTTTTCTTAATACAAAATGAGAAAGTATAAAATATGAAATTATATTATAACATTTTATATTGTTAGATAATAAACTAATGTAATAGATTATGTTATTAAATAAACATATTATTGACCAAACACAAATAAATACAAATGTGTAATAAGAAATTGAATAATTCTCACTTATCCACATTTTTTTAAATATTCTAGATTATATAATTAATAATAATTGCAAAAAAAATTGTTTAAAAGTATGATATGGATAAATTGTCCATAGAAAAAAAATTATTATTAAGTCACGTGACAATTATATTTTAGATAGTTAAATGTTTCACTTAAGAACGAAAGTTTTAGACGTCTTGGACACGCGACACTACGTTGTTTCCTTACCACATATGTTGATATGTCCAATCAATTCCTGAAATCATGGAAAGGATATAGAAAGCATTATATTTCTTTGATCTTATTTAATTTAGCCATGTAGTTGTAGTGGAGTTAGTCGATCTTATCTTGACTTTATTACGTCGAGGGCATATCGAACAGAAACCTCCACGTCAACTAGTACAGATCACATGCATATGCATGTAGGTCATAGATATCGATTACTGCAATTAGTATAACCTCTCGATCTTGAGCAATATTCGTGAAATATCGTATCTTGGGGGCCCACGTATAGGTTGCTTACCTCAATCTTTGTAATCCATGCATCAAGTTAATTGTGTGCCTAGGAATGACAATAATATGATTCATTTATCCATGTGCATTCATTATAAATTTCATTGTTTTCTATCTATATCCAAGAGGGGCACGCATTCAAAATTGATCACGTCTTTACCCTGTTTGCTTCGGCAAAACCTCATTCAAAATTCAGACATAAAAAAGTCATTAACTAGGATGGTCCAACCTCTAATAAATTGGGTTCTTGTCTTTGTTATTAAATGCCATAAATAGCCATATCTCTACGTTCTAAATTCTAGCTAAGCTGGCTAATACTGGCCAAAACTAGACCAATGACAATGGCCCGAAGGTTTATGAAATCGGAATTGCGACCCGATGCATTCAATTCCAAGATTTACAGAACCGGATTCTCAGAATCCTGAGAATCCGAACGGTCTCGAGACCCGAAATGTAACCTTAAATTCACCACTACTAGTTGAGGCATGGCACAACGCATCCACTGATACACAGAAAAATGGCTTTAACTAGTGTGAAGATGACTGGGGAAGTTTGGTTGGCATGTATGACCCATGCATTGTCCACCGAGACTGAAGAGATCATGGGTCTTCTTCTTGGCGACATTCAGGTTTACTTCCTTCTAAGAATTAGTCATTTTCATGGATTTTACCTTTATAAGGTTGAAATTTTTTCTCTGTTCCAGTGGTTCAGGCGTTGAAAGATCATAGCTTTCTTGTTGATTTTCATCTTAATGTGGTTATGCCAAACGGGGTTCTCAAATTCTTGCGCAGACACTTTTCTCGCTTTACTGTTGGCGATGATTGAGACCATTCCAAAGAAAAAAACATACACGGAATTTTTTCGTTAGGAAAAGTTGGGAACTTTAAGGTTCCATGTGAGTTAACAATTTTCTTTTGTGGGTTTTGGATTTTTATCCTAGATGGGTTTTCAAATAGTTGCTATACCTTGACTTGCATGAATTTTGACCCGAATTCTTGATCGATGTCCCCAGTTCCTGTTATTTTACAATATTTATTGCACTGATGATTTTATTTTCTGTTTAGAACATGGTTTACTGTGTATATGTTACAATAATTTCATAGAGAACTTTTGGTCACAATTTTGATCCACACTCTTCATGTTCTGAAGTTTCTAGGCAATGAAGAATTTCTCTGTCTCCCCACTGAAACTTCAGTTCGACTGGCTTTCGGGTTTTCCCAGAGATGTAGGCAATTTTAGATGTAGGCAATTTTAGTACTGTTCATCCATGATGGTAAAACTTGATTCAAAGCATGTGGAAATAACATTTTTACTTGATTCAAAGTACTTGACAAGAGTAATATAGACGTGAGTGGTTTGATTTCAAGAGTGGCTTCTTAGTTCTTAGGGACCATTCAGGGGCACCTTAATGTATGCATTGCTTCGTAGCTTGCGATTATAATTATGGATTTCCATTGACATTGGGAGGGTTCATTGACATACAAATTCAACTACTCTTAAATTTTAATATGTTTCACCATATCTCTTTAATGTCTTTCCCACAATTGCATTTTGACAATTTACATATTGGGTATCTTAGTTGAACTTTGCCTGCAGTGGAACTAAATAATTGATTCTGGTTTTTGGGCAGCACTCGAGAAACGGTGATGTGACTGCACTGATATGGGGAGCACTCCCACAACCACGTTCTGATCGTCGGAAAGATCGAGTAGAGACTAATCCAGAACAGTTGGTTGCTGCTTCTGCTTATGCCGAGATATCCTTTCCTATGATGCTCAGTTTCCTTGAGTTTTTGAGTTTTAATAAAATTCCGTGAAGCATTGATTGCATCCTTTACACAATGGACCGAATATAAGTGCTGTTGTGACCTATTTACTGACAATGTACTGCCAAAGAAGGATAAACTTACTGCACATCTTATATCCTGTTATTCTGGTGCTGTAAATTGATTTCAAGAACATAGATTTCACATATGGTATAAGCATAAGATGGCTATGTTTTCGATTTTTTCCCCTCTATTTCTGTCTTATTAATGGCCAATTTTAACGGGCTGGAATTGTTACCGAAGTAAGGCGTTTGTTAACAACGTTCATGTGCATTTGCCCTTTCAAAGCTTTCTCAACAAGGGTCACATTTGAGTGTAGGTTTTGTTGTTCATCATAAATATTGTTAATACTTTGACTTTTTAGCACAGAATGACCATTGCAACAGGAGTAACAACTCAGGTGATTGGCTGGTATCATTCACATCCTCATATTACAGTCCTTCCTTCTCATGTTGGTAAGTTTTGAAGAGATAAAAATGCTCTTAAATATTCTTATTCTTGTTTTGCTTCCGTTATAGAATATAGTCACCCTTATCTTAAGTAATGGCTATTTGCAAAAGGAAAAACCACATTATTATATTTATCTTGATCAAATTTAGATGGATAATAGATTTGCCGTTCCGTGGGAGTAGGTGGTGAAAGATGATGATGAGCTCATTGAATAACTTTCAAGATGTCCAGCTTTTTGAAAAACTATTAAATTTTACCTAATTTACTTCCGATGCTTTTTCCTCATTAGGAATGGAAAAAATTCATTTCTATCTTTCAATCTAATTAAGGATATAAAGAGCTGAGTCTATTATGGAGAAGAGCTAGTAATTTTCTGTAATATAAAAACTTTTTCAGTGTATTGTGTCTTTGTAACTCTTGTTTGTTTCTGTTCACTCGAAATTAATTATAATTCTCGCATGTTGTCTCTGCAGATGTGCGGACTCAGGCTATGTATCAATTGATGGATTCTGGGTTTATTGGGCTGATATTTTCATGTTTCAATGAAGATGCTCAAAAGGTTTATATAATTAATTTGTTTATGAGAAAATAACTTTTTAATTTTATTTATTTTTATAATTTTTCTAAATACTCGCAGGCTGGGAGGATTCAAGTCCTTGCATTTCAGTCTTTAGATGGGAAGCGGAATCATGAGTTGAGACTTGCTTCTGTTTCTCCCCTCCCCAAAAGCCCTGTTATAGAAATTGAATCATCTTCAAGTTTCTCAAAGAATGCACTGACTAGACCTGGCTTTGTTGGGAGAGAAAGTACTCAAAAAGACAATGGAGATTTGAGAGCGTCTGCAATGCCCTCTAAGGTATTCTTGAATAAGCATGGTTTTTGTTTAAATTCTCCTTTTTTCATTAAACGATATCTCCTTTTTTGTGCGTGTTGACTGTTGATGTTTATTAGCTGTTACTTATTGGCTAGGATGGTGGAACATCGCCCGACTTCGAGGTTCTTATTGCAAATGCTGATGCCAGTACTGGAGACACGTACCATGCCAACACTTTAAAATATTCGATTCCTGATTTAGATCCTGTGGAGGATACATCAGGAAGTATGCTAGAAGCATTAAGGCTTTCAAATTTGGAGATGAGGTAACATGAGTATGTACTTGATGACTTCTTTTTTTTCTTGATCCCAACTTGATAAATATATCTGTATTTTTACCATGCTCATCTTAGTAAGCATTTGTTTGGGAGAGATTTTTCCAAGTGAAAAATAAGTTTTCCAGAAAATGTATGGTTAAAAAGTAAGAAAAAGTTATGGGTCCCATATAATGTGTGGTTGAAAATGATTTTAGAAAAAATCTCTCC